AATGAGGTTTTGAGGGAGAAGCCTTCTAGAAGCTCCAAACCCTCATTATAAAATTATTGAATTTTCTTAATTTTAAACAATTAAGAAAATTCTCAGTGGTCAGTTTCCATTTGCCTTTAATTTTACAATCTCACATCGGGAAAAAAAGAAAAAGTGAATTGCTTCTTTTACGTAAAGTGAATCTTATACTCCAATTTATATAAATGATTGAGTTTTCTTAATTTTAAAAATCTCCATTGGCTAGCTTCCATTGAACTAATATTCACTACAACAAATTTCACTTTTGGCGATTAAAATTTTAGTCACCAAAAGCCTTATTTTAGTCGCCAATTATCTTTGGCAACTAATATATTTGGTCGCCAGTTTGGTAGCTAATAGTTCGTCAGGAAAGACAATCGGCGACTAAAATTTGGTGGACAAAAGTGACCTATCGACGACTAAAACTTTAGTCGCCATATATTTTTTTAAAATAATGAAATATATGTATATTTTTTACTTTTAGCGACTAAATTATTTAGTAGCCAATTAAGCATGTATATTTGGTGACTACTTATTTGGTAGCCAAAAGTTTCACTTTTTGAGAATTGGCGACTAAAAATTTAGGGGAGCTGTTAAGATGTGCACCTCAATAAGATGTGCACATCATATACACATTTATTTTAAGCCATTAGATTTTTACAAATTAATCCCAACCACTGAATAATTTGAATAGAAATCTTGAGTACCTCCTCAACCGGTTACCATTTTTACAAATTTCTTCACCGATTGTTCTCTTTCCAGCTGAGCTCTTCATGTTGTTTTCCCAAAGCTCCCTCTGTTTTTGAGACACCACTCTAACACTCTTCTTCACCCTCGAAAACCATCCCTCGAAGACCATCCCTGCGAACATGACCTACCCTCGACTTCGCCTGAAGGTATGTCTCTCTTTCTCTCTCTGCAACTTTTTTCTTTCCCCTTTTCTCGATCTCCATTCTATGAAACCCTAGACCGCAATCCCTTTCTTTGAAACTGCCCCTTTTACGTTTGTGACCTCATTGGGTTGGTTTATAAAATTAGGAGGATATTAGGTTTAGGGTTTTTATATTTGTTTGCTTTCGTAGTTGTTTTGATTCCCTTCTTCGAAATCCCTTTTTGTTAACCCCTATTTCATGTATCGATTCTTGTTTCCCATTCTTCAAAATGCCTTTTTCACGTTTGTGAACTATCTTGGAGTGGTTGGATTCTAAATTTAGGAAAATATGATATGAACAGCTTTTGTTTGTAATGTTTGTTTGATTTGGTAGTTGTTTTGACTCCATATATATAGATATATCTTGAAATTTTGGTTGAGTTTGTGAAATCTGATGTGTGGATAATTGAATTTTGTACACATGTAATTGATACAAGACTACAATTATTTATTTATTGAAATCTGTTTATGTTTCTAATTCTTCGTTTCTTCTTATGTTATACTTCTAGTAATGCTGCTTTTGGGTTATCATTGAATGAAATATTCCCCTTTTGGATTAGTAGTTGCATATTTTACCTATACATTTGAGGATTATTATTGATTGATATACAATTCTTCTCATGATTGGGTGTTGTTGGTGCATTATCTATGCACATATTATTTTAATAGTAATTTTATATTTGTTCGGAATTCCATCAAATTGAGTAGGTTCTTATTAACATTCAACTCAATGTAATACATAATGAATGGCGAAACCAATGATTTTCTGTATAAGTTTAGGGGAAAAAAATTCATTCTTTATTATACCAACAGATGCCCAGCATAACTAATGTAAAATATTAAAAAAATCCAATGGCTTTATGTTGTCCAAGAGGAAGAGTAAGAGTACGAGATAAAGGATTTATAAAATAGTGATACATGTCAAATCGCATTACTGGAGAAAAGAAAATTGAACAGATAACAAAATAAAATCAAACCAATTGATGGATTTCTTTAAGTGTTAAAACTGAGAAGCTTGAGGGAAAAGAGAATTTATTGATGGCTTGAATAACTTGATCTCAATCAAAATTTCAAAATAATCTCTAAAATAAGAGCTTGAAGTTGTATCTTTGTGAGCCTTGATGCGTAGAGCGCACTTGATATGAGATAACGTGGAAGGATCAACACGTGGTTGAAATGCTTAATGATTCAAAGTATTGAGAGTTTTTGGCGATAATTAAATTAACATTTAATTAAATTTACATTTCTAGAAAAAATAATTGTCAAATTCTGGAACTACACTTATTCTAAATATTCCCCCTAGTGATATATTTACCTACCTCTCTAGCATACACTTTATTTTGATAGGTTGCTTATTTGGCATACACTTGAAGTCATGTCTAGGATGACTCTTGTCCATTCTTCATTTACAAAAGTGTTCCAATTCTTTGTATACACTACTTTTATTGAGGGCTTCCTACATTTATGAAATTATATTGTTTGCAGTAATCTTTTGATACTGAAATTTAAAGTAATGATGTTTGTATAGCATATGCTTTTTAATAACGGATGCATAAGAAGGCAATTTAAATGTTTTACCTGGAAAATTAGTTTTCCTTACAAATATGACTAGGATCTGTTTCAGAACCTATTTTGCAAAATATTAGAATTTGACAATTTTATTAGCTGTCATTATTGTCATCATGAATGATCTTGATAATAAAATTCTGAAATTTTATTAGAGTATGTTAGCCAAGACAACAATCAATGAAGCCAAAACCTTTCTCCACACAACCAACCCTAGGTTTATTTCATGATTTTCAAACAAATCTAACATGGTACAATTTTCATGCAATATAAAAATTACCACATGTCTATCTATAGACGGAGTATTGAAAAAGAACAAGGAGCGTCCCTGCCTCAAATGGAGAACTCAAATGGAGAAGATGACCCGAAATCAAAGTGCTCCAAATCCCAAATTTCTTGGATCACAACGAAGCCCTCGACGATCAACACATTTCTTACAAAGACCCAAGGTGAGGAAAACACACTAGCTAGATCAATCCTAAGAGAGAAGTTAGGTTTTAGAGTGAGGTGCTCTCTAATGGCTTTTCGGAAAAGTAAGAGAGAGAAAGGAAATCAAAAAGTGATTCAAAAAGCTGAATCTCGGTGTGTTATACAGGTCGCCCCGCTCAAGCGTGGAAACCCCCACTCGAGCCTCACTCACAGACTCCCGCTCGAGCGCCAAAAACCCCGCTCGAGCAGCGGATACAACCATCCAGAAGTTTTGCAGAACAGGCCCCTGCTCGAGCGTCCAACTCCCTGCTCGAGCGTCTCACACAAACTCCCGCTCGAGCGTCAAACCTCACGCTCGAGCGTCCAACACTACAGAGGAAATATTGGGAAGGTGATTTTCCCGCTCGAGCGCCGAAACCCCCGTTCGAGCGGAAAGGTCAAAAAAACTGGGCAAAGATTCTAGGTTTTAAAACACAACCAACATAACCCAACAAGTCTAACACAACCTAAAACTCTAAGATAAAGAGTAAGGGACAGAAAAGAGAATGAGACAACAACAACAAATCTACGGAACCGAGTCCGGATTACGGTTCAATAACAACTGGGAATATCGGGATCGCTATAAAAATAATATTTTTCATACATAGATTTTTCCTTTTCGCCCCATAATCATAAATCTCCTTAAGTATTGTCTTCTTTACTAACTCTGTTTCAATGTTCTGTTGTTGTTTGTCACAGGTCCTCAATTTCTACATCTTAACGTAGAAGTGAAGCTATACCTCCCCCCTCCCTCCCTCCCTAGCAGTTGCATTGGCAGGTGTGATTTTTAATTTATTTACTTTTAATTAATAGCAAGGTACTGCCAAGTGTGCTTTTTATTTATTTGTTTATTTTAATTGATAATAGGATACTTGCGAGTGTGCTTTGTTTATTTATTTTCTTTCAATTAATAGCAAGGCACTGGCAGGTGTGCTTATTCACTTATTTGATTTTGATAATTAATATTTGATAGCAGGGCATTGGCGGGTGTGCTTATTTATTTGTTTGATATTAATTTATAGCAGGGTACTAGCGGGTGTGCTTTTTTGTTAATTTGTTTCATTTTAATTGATAGTAGAGTACTTGCAGGTGTATTTTTTTATTATTTTGGTTCAATTGATAGCAAAGCACTGGTGGGTGTGCTTATTTGTTCATTTTCTTTTAAGAATTGATAATTGAAAGCAGAGTACTGGCGGATGTATTTTTTTTCTATTTTCTTTTAACAATTGATAATTGAAAGCAGAGCATTGGTGGGTGTACTTTTTTCTATTTTCTTTTAACAATTGATAATTGAAAGCAGAGCACTGGCGGGTGTGCTTTTTCTATTTTCTTTTTACAATTGATAATTGAAAGCAGAGCACTGGCGGGTGTGCTTATTTGTTCATTTTGTTTTAATAATTGATAATTGAAAGTAGAGCACTGGCGGGTGTGTTTTTTTATATTTTACTTTATAGTAGGGTACTTGCAGGTGTGTTTTTGAATTTATTTCCTTTGAATTGATAGCAGAGCATTGGCGGGTGTGCTTATTTATTTGTTTGATTTTAATTTATAGCAGGGTACTGATGGGTGTGCTTTTTTATTTGTTTGTTTCATTTTAATTGATAGTAGAGTACTTGCATGCGTGTTTTCTTATTATTTGTGTTTATTTGATTGCAAAGCACTGGCGGGTGTGCTTATTTGTTCGTTTTCTTTTAAGAATTGATAATTGAAAGCAGAGCACTGACGGGTGTGGTTTTTTATATTTTAATTTATAGTAGGGTACTTGCTGGTGTATTTTTGAATTTATTTGCTTTGAATTGATAACAGGGCATTGGCAGGTGTGCTTATTTATTTGTTTGATTTTAATTTATAGGAGGGCACTGGCTTGTGTGTTTTTTTGTTGATTTGTTTGATTTTAATTTATATTATGGTATTTATGAGTGTAATTTTCTATTATTTGCATTTAACTTATGCCAAATCTGCACATCTGTTGTCTACATGCACATCTGTTGTCTATGCGATTTGTTATGTAGATATGATGGATGAACCTAAAAGTAGTAGACAGAAAGAGGTCAACAGTGAAATTGACAATCAAGTTGCTCCGGATGGCAAGGATGATGTTGTTGATGAGAAAGAAGAAGGGTTAGCTTCCCAAACCTATGATAGTTTACGAATGCTTACTAAGGTTGATGTTTTGCAAATGAAATTCAATTCAGAGGAGGATGCTTATTCTTTCTACAATGCATACGCTAAGGTCATCGGTTTTAGCGTACGAAGAAGTAGGGAATGAATTTGTGGAGACAACAAATTTGTAGAGAGTAGGAAATGGGTTTGTTCAAGGGAAGGTGTAAGAGAAAAGAAATGCTTATAGCATGTGGAACGGGTAAGAACTCCCAGGGCAAAAACTATACTTTTTTTGTAGTGCCACATTTCGTGTGCGTTATGACAAGACAATTAAAAAATATGTTGTGACCCACTTTGTAGGGGAACACAACCATCCCTTGGCAACACCATATTGCGTCCCTTTTCTTTGGTCACATAGGTTTGTAACAAGTGCAGACCAAGCTCAAGCAAAGGCCATGCGCAATGTGGGTATGAGAACGAGTCAGATCATGGATTTTATGGTCCATCAATCAGGGGGTTATGAGAAGGTGGGCTTCATTCACAGAGATTTGCACAACCAATTCCAAGCTGAGCGCAAAGTACAACTCACAGAAGGGGATGCAGAGGGTACCTTAGGATACTTATAAGCTAAACTAGATGCAGATCCTTTTTTTGTTTTTTCAAGTACAACGTCGATAAGGATAACCGGTTGGACAAGATTTTTTGGGCAGATGGTAGGTCTCGGATGGACTATGCTGCATTTGGTGACGTATTGGTAGTTGATACAACTTATCATACAAATCAGTATAAGAAGCCATTTGTGATTTTAGCTGGCGTGAGTAACCATTTTATGACAATCATATTTGGATGTGCTTTGTTGCCTGATGAGGCAATGGAGACATACACTTGGGTGTTGGAAACGTTAATGGATGCCATAGATGGACAAAGACCCATCTCTGTTGTAACAGATGGTGATAGGGCAATGCGTCAGGCAATCGAAAGAGTTATTCCAAATTGTAGACATCGTTTATGTTCTTGGCATCTGGAGAAAAATGCCTCAACAAATGTCCACATACTAGAATTTACTAATGATTTCGCACAGTTGATGTTAAAGAAATGTAAAATTGTTGAGTTTGACAATGCTTGGGCTCGTATGGTGAAACAATACAAGTTGGAGAACAATAACTGGGTGTTGGAGATTCACTGCAAGCGTGATAAGTGGGCTGAGGTGTATCTTCGTGGTCACATGTTTGCTGGGATGAGGAGCACTCAACGTGTCGAGGGTATGAATGCATATTTCAATATGTTTCTAGAACAAAAGGTAAGGTTGTACGAATTTGTAGCACAATATGATAGGGCTCTTGCTAGGATGTGTGTTAATGAGGCAGAAACAGAATCTAAAACAGAGAATAGTTTCTCGGTTTTGACTACGCCATTGAGAAGTTTGGAAAAACATGCAGCTGAGCTCTTTACTTGGAAGATTTTTTCATTGTTTCAACGTGAAATCAGCAAAGAGGGTAAATTGTTTGTGATGGAAAGAGTTGAGTTGGAGGATCGTCGCACCTATCATTTTGGTGAGTACAAGGCACCAACAAGCACATGGACAGTTGAGTATTTTCCAGCAGCTATCACAATAAAATGTTGTTGCTTGAAGTTTGAGTCATTTGGCATCCCTTGTTGCCACATGGTTGCTTTCATGAAATCTGAACAATTAATGTGTATTCCACCAAGTTGTGTCTTAAAGAGATGGACAAGACGTGGTAGGTAAGGATATTAACAACCAAGTCTTACCCAAATTTCTAGCACCCTAACACAGACAGCCCGGTTCGGTATACTGAGCTCATGTTTTAGTGAAATGTCATATTATGCCTCACACGCAGACAACAATTTTGAAGAGGCAAGGGAAATGGCTTTCCAGATGACATTGAAGATGAAAAAGAGCTGGGCAATGCAAACAGAATATAATACCGAGGTTGGGGACAAAAATATTGCAAGGGAATTAGATTCTTTTCACTTTGGTCCAAATTATAACAAACGTTATACTTCTGTGACGGAAAATGCCCCGTGGGTCAAGTTCACCTAAATTTGTACCAAATCCTCTGCTATAGACCACCTCAACATGCAACCCTCCATTATAGAACCCTTTAACGCCTACCATGAACCATCTATTTTGAAGTGCGAAAACAAAGGCCTCCAAGTGATCAAAGTAGGAAAGTTAGTTTTAAAAATTCCAAAGTTTCCCTCAGAAGTTAGCAATTGGACCAAAGTAAGAAAAGACATATAATGTAGTCATTAGGGTGGGTACATAGAGAAACAATATACATCTACGAATGAAAATACAATTTATTATTTTAAAAAGGAGTGACGGTAAAAAGGTAGTGACCGTCTATGAGATAATAGGCAAGGGCTAATACTGGTACGTGCTAGAGTTATAAACGTGTCAAACTAATTCATAGGTGACGTCATCATCTCGACATGAAGATAACATGACACTAGTAGCGGTAACAATGCTATTATAGTGGTCTAAGTCAATGATGACGGTTGTGTTTCAGTGGACTAAAGGACGTGATTAATCAAAGCTTTTATGATTTTTGGGTGGGAAGTCTAAATTCTCCATAATTTGGCTCGATATTATGCCAATTGCTGAGATCAACCCAAATCTTCATAATTTTTTTTGTGACAAATAAAAAAATAGTACCTGGAAATGACAGGAGATGCCTCTTTTGGTTGGATATTTGGATTGGAAATCAAAGGCTTATAGATGTGTTCACTAGATTGTTCTTGCTGTCTTAAGATAAAATGGAGTCTCTTACAATGATTATGGACATAAGGGGTGATTAAAGTGGTTGGGGTCTAGGGTTTAGGACAAGTTTACTAGCTTGAACCCAAAACAATAGGAATTGACAAGACTTATTACTATTTTGAATGATGCAACACATCTTAGAGAAGCTGTTGAAGATAAATTAAGATGGAGAGTAGAACCCTCAGGGGAATTCAGTGTTGACTCAATTTGTAAATGGTGTGAATATTCTCAACACCCAATCATGTTACCTCCTAAGCTGCTCTGGAATAACATTTTTCATCCAAAAGTTCAATTTCTAAGCTGGTTTGCTTGGAAAGGGAGAGTAAAAACTACGGTATTTCTTCAAAAAATTGGGGTTGTAAATATTAATGCTAATACTACTTGTGTTTTATGTAATGGTTAGGCCGATGATGTGAATCACTTATTCTTGAGTTGTAAATCTGTACGATGTTTATGGTCTGCAATGTTAAAGTGGTGGTGAGTTCAATGGGCAATGCCAAACTCAGTGGAGGGAGTTCTAGAATGGTGGGCAGGGTATAGATGGAAGAAATTTAATAAGAAAATTTAGAGAGCCATTCCACTCACAGTACTTTGTTCCATATGGAAGCAAAGGAATGACTGTATGTTTAATACATCTCATTTTGATATGGAGGAGTCATGTCAACTTGTCAAAACAAGGATTGTTTTTTGGGGGTAAAAAGCAACTCACAAGGGATGTACTATTCCATAATCGAATTCATTTCAAATTTAAATCAGGCAAGATTGTGTTTAGGAGGAAGGGGTACTGTCTGATTTTTTGAATACACCATCACTATTTCTGTTTGGAATCTGGATATGCTTATGGGATCAGCACTCATGGCCAGGTTGCTTTAAACACATTGTGCATACGATTGCTTTTGGTTTTTTATGCTTCTCTACTATTGCTCTGCTTGATGCTACTGTTGTTCAAGCTTTTATGCGAGGTCATTTTGGATACAATGATCTCATTTGCAAATGGTGTGTAGATTTAGTTGTTTGATGTCAGTCCATTGTATTGAATGTTGTTGTGTTTTTTAGGTTTATTGGTGTGTATATTTAGTTGTTTGATGTGAGGTTTGTTGGTTGTCCATGTTTGTTGGTTTCTCACCTTGTGCTGTGCTAGCAAATGATTTGGCTCCCTTTTCGGTGTCAACCTAGACCACACCAATTGAGAATGGCCAACCACACCAACCATGATCAATGGCAATGCAGCAAAATGTGGGAATCTATCTCAACCTTACATCCGCCAAAAAAACAATAAACAACACAAATCAGCCCCCATTGGAAGGATCCTCCTTTGAGCAAATAGATCTCTTGATGTAATTCTCTCTTTTAATGCCACCCAACAAAAACACTTCACTTTTGGAGGAGCAACATTTCTCCAAAGTTTAGAGCAATTATGGTTTATCATCAATGAAATGGTGGTGGAGTTTTGGGGTAGAGAACAAAACACTGTGGAAACAGATTATAAGATGCAAATATGGTATTGAGAGAGGTGGATGGCTACTATCATTGGTGGCTTCAGGAAACATGTTACTTGTTTGGGGAGATGTTTTGTCTTGCTTCAGATTCTAAATTAAGTTCAGTTGCTTTTGAGTGCTGATCAGTTAATTCAGTAATAGTATTCATGTGATACATCAATTGCATAGAAGTGCCTTCCTTTTCAGTATGAGCTAAGTTCAGTAATTGTTCAAGTTCATTAACCTTGTTTTCAAGCTGTGTATTTCTCTCAACCAACAGTTCATTCTCTGAGAAAAACTGTGCAGCTTTCTATTCTGCCTCTGAAATCTTTCTTTTGAGTGGATGAATTTCCTAGACTTTTCAGGTTGTCTATAGATAAGGGGGATCATTAAGGATGTTTGTGCAAAATAGGATGTTTGTGACAAACTGTGAAGCTTTCTATTCTGCCTCTGAAAGTTCCCCCATGACAAATAGGACTTGTGACAACTGACGGAATGTAATCTGGATCCATAGGTTGGGAGTTAGAGCCAAATACACCCCAAACTTAGTCGAAAAAGGACGTTTCGGGGGAAAAAAATCAAAGCGGCCCCGATCCACCGTGGGACTCTCATGGATAGCTTCTCCATGACAAATAAGACTTGTGACAACTGACGGAACGTAATTCGGAACCATAGGTAGAGAGTTAAAGCCGAATATGCCTTAAACTTATTCGAAAAAGAGCTTTTCGGGGGTGAAAATTCAAAATTGCCTCCGAACGACCATGTGACTCTCATAGATAGCTTCCCCATGACAAATAGGACTTGTGACAACTGACGGAATGTAATTCGGACCCGTAGGTAGAGAGTTAAAGCCGAATACGTCCTAAACTTAGTCGAAAAAGGGCGTTTTGTGAAAAAAAAATTCAAAACAGCCCCCGAACCACCGTGTGGCTCACACGGACAGTTTCCCAATGAAAAATAGGACTTGTGAAAACTAATGGAATATAATCTGGACCTGTAGGTTGGAAGTTAGACCTGAATAAGTTCTAAACTTAATCGAAAAAGGGCGTTTCGGGGGCAAAATTCAAAATAACCCCCGAACCACCATGTGGCTCACATAGATAGTTTTCGAATGAAAAATAGGACTTGTGACAACTGACGGAATGTAATCCAGAGTCGTAGGTTGGGAGTTAGAGCAGAATACGCATTAAACTTACTCGAAAAAGGGCGTTTCGGGGGTAAAAATTCAAAACAGCCTCTGAACGACTGTGTGACTCACACGGATAGTTTTCCCATGACAAATAGGACTTGTGACAACTGATGGAATGTAATTTGGACCCATAGGTTGGGAGTTAGAGCCGAATATGCCCTAAACTTAGTCAAAAAAGGGCGTTTCGGGGGAAAAAATTCAAAACAGCTACCGAACCACCGTGTGGCTCACACGGACAATTTTCCCATGACAAATAGGACTTGCGACAGTTGACGGAATGTAATCCGGACCCGTAGGTTGGGTGTTAGAGCCAAATACGCCTTAAACTTAGTTGAAAAGGGCGTTTCGGGGGCAAAAATTCAAAACAGCCCCCGAACCACTGTGTGACTCTCACGGACAGCTTTCCTATGTCAAATAAGACTTTTGAAAACTGACGGAACGTAATTCGGACCCGTAGGTAGAGAGTTAGAGCCAAATATGCCTTAAACTTACTCGAAAAAGAGCTTTCCGAGGGTGAAAATTCATAATAGCCCCCAAACGACCATGTGATTCTCACAGACAGTTTCACCATGAAAAATAGGACTTGTGACAACTGACAGAATGTAATCCGGACCCGTAGATTGGGAGTTAGAACTGAATATGCCTTAAACTTACTCGAAAAAGGGCGTTTTGGGGGGCGAAAATTCAAAACAGCCCCCGAACCACCGTGTGACTCACACAAACAGTTCCCTTATGACAAATAGGACTTGTGACATTTGATAGAATGTAATCCGGACCCGGAGGTTAGGAGTTAGAGCCGAATACGCCCTAAACTTACTCGAAAAAGGGCGTTTCTGGGGCAAAAATTCAAACAGCCTCCGAACGAATGTGTGACTCTCACGGATAACTTCCCCATGACAAATAGGACTTGTGAGAACTGACAGAATGTAATTCAGACTTGTAGGTTTGGAGTTAGAATCGAATGCGCCCTAAACTTAGTCGAAAAAAGGCGTTTCGGGGGCAAAAATTCAAAATAGCCCCCGAATCACCGTTTGGATCACACGGACAATTTCCCAATGAAAAATAGGACTTATGACAACTGACGGAATGTAATCAGGAGCCGTAGGTTGGGAGTTAGAGCAGAATACGCATTAAACTTACTCAAAAAAGGGCGTTTCCAGGGCAAAAAGTCAAAACAGCCCTCGAACCACAGTATGGCTCGCACGGAAAGTTTTGCCCTGACAAATAGCACTTGTGACAACTGACGGAACGTAATTCGGACCCGTAGGTTGGAAGTTAGAGTCGAATACGCCTTTAGTCGAAAAAAGGCGTTTTAGGAGCGAAAATTCAAAACAGCCCTCGATTTTTGCCCCTGAACCACTGTGTGGCTCATATGGACAGTTCCCTCATGACAAATAGGACTTATGACAATTGACGGAATATAATCTGGACCCGTAGGTTGGGAGTTAGAGTCGAATACGCCCTAAACTTAGTTGAAAAAAGGGCGTTTTGGAGGCAAAAATTCAAAGCAGCCCCCGATCCACTGTGTGACTCTCATGGATAGCTTCTACATGACAAATAAGACTTGTGACAACTGATGGAACGTAATTTGGACCTGTAGGTAGAGAGTTAGAGCCGAATACGCCTTAAACTTACTCGAAAAAGAGCTTTTCGGGGGTGAAAATTCAAAACAGCCTCTAAATGACCGTGTGAATCTCACAAATAGCTTCCTCATGACAAATAGGACTTGTGACAACTGACAGAATGTAATTCGGACCCGTAGGTAGAGAGTTAGAGCTAAATACGTCCTAAACTTAGTCGTAAAAGGGCATTTCGGGGGGAAAAATTCAAAACAGTCACCGAACCACCGTGTGGCTCACACGGACAATTTCCTAATGACAAATAGGACTTGTGACAACTGACGGAATGTAATCTAAACCCGTAGGTTGGGAGTTGAAGCTGAATGTGCATTAACTTACTCGAAAAAGGGCGTTTCGGGGGCGAAAATTCAAAACAGCCCCCGAACCACCATGTAGCTCACACGGGGCAGTTTCTCCATGACAAATAGGATTTGTGAAAACTGACAGAATATAATTTAGACCTGTAGGTTGGGAGTTAGAGCCGAATACGCCCTAAACTTACTCAAAAAAGAGTTTTCCGGGGACGAAAATTCATAGCAGCCCCCTAATACACCTTACACCTAGTCGAAAAACTAGCAACACTTAGTTTAAAAAATGACAACTTTATGAAAATAACATCTTCATATTCTAATAATTGCCTTTATATATTTATAGGACGAAGAAATTATTTATTAGATTGTTTGTGTTGTTGGTTGGAATAAATATTGCATGATATATATATATATATACTTTCTTTTATTTCCAAGAAGACATTTCTCGATTGTTCTACCTTAAATGCATGTTAGAACATGTTTCATATGACTGACTGAATTGATATTTTGTAACCAATTCTAATGTTTCGTTTTTTGTTTTTCTTTGTAGATGGCTTTGTTGCGTGGACTTGTAGATAATCCATATTGGTGTATGGAGAAGAATTTTTACTTTTGTGTAAAACTAATATAATACTTTTATCGTCCTCAGCTTTTGTCTAGTTCATTATTACTGATACAGAAAATTTTTGGCAATCAACAGATAATGACTGTCATGGTACATAGATCACCTTCTGTCATGGTACATATATACCATTTGTCGGCGTACATATATGACCTTTTGTCATGGTCTATAGAAAAATTTTGTCGTGGTACATATATCACCTTTTGTCGTGGTATGCCAAATGGTAATTTCTCTTGGTAATAAATGTAATTTTTGTATACGGAGGGCTTTGATTTTTATATGATATATTTTGTATGGAATTATTTTTTAGTTTGGACAATAGTTGATTTGTATGGACTTTGACATTTAAAGTTATTTATTTTTTGTATATAGATGCAGATTGTGGAATGATTGATAGTATGTATCATTTTGTTTATATACGTATTACAGGTTGCATGGAATATAGTCAGGTTGTGGAGAAATTATAATTTTGATATAAAACATAATATCATGTTTTTGGTGACTAGACAATTAGTAGCTAAAAAGAAATTGGGAAAAGACATTTGGCGACTAAAAGTTTTGTAGCAAAAATAAAAAATAAAAAATAGACATTTGGCGACTAAAAGTTTAGTAGCCAAAAGAAAATCAAACATTTGATGACTAAAATATTTCGTAACCAAAAACAAAAAGCTAAAGAATAAAAACACTTTTGCCGACTAAAATTTTAGTAGCAAAAAATGTGGTACTTTAGGCGACCAAATATTTAGTACCCAAAAGAAGAACTCTTTGCCGACTAAAAATTTAGTAGCAAAAAATGTGGGACTTTAGGTGACCAAATATTTAGTAGTCAAAAGAACTCTTTGTCGACTAAAATTTTAGTAGCAAAAAATGTGGGACTTTAGACGACCAAATTTTTAGTAGTCAAAAAAAGAACTCTTTACCAACTAAAATTTTAGTAGCTAAAAATGTGAAACTTTAGGCGACTAAAAGTTTGGTTACCGAAAATGGTCTAATTTAATTTAATGTCCAACCTTTTGGTGACTAAAATTTTAGTCGAAAATTGTATACATTTGGCGACTAAAATTATAATTACCTTTACCGACAATTCCTTGATGACTACTTTTGCGACCAAATAATTTAGTCGCTAAAACTCTTCGGCGATTAAAAATTTATTCACCAAAAGTGAAAATTCTTGTGGTGTATGATTCATTAGTAAAAGTTATGACATTTTGTTAATCTTATTATGATTGTGGAGAAAAAAGTTATAGTTATGATTCATTAGTAAAAGTTATGATTTATACTACCAAAAGTTATGATTTGTCATCGTGAATCATAATAAAAAATGTTACGATTCAAATGTTATGATAATTAATTACAAATTACTATATTTGTTATGAGTTGTCATTATATTGTTATGATTTATTGTGTCTTTGTTATGACACTTTGGTGAATATTATAACATTGTTATGATTCATTATAGTATTGTTATGATATTTGAAAAAAAGTTGTGATTCTTTCTGTAACCTGTTACATGACCGGTTTAGCAGGTCATTACCCTGCTAATGTCTTTGATTCTATTGAGTTTCTATTGCCCTATACAGGAATTTGTGTACTCTTTTTATTTTTCTCTTTTTCTTTAAAACGCACTCTCTTCTTTTGATTTCCTATTTTCAGCTTTTTGTTAGGCCTATTTGATATTTGTTGCGGTCAATAATTTGAAATTCCCTCATTTAAGAACAATGAATTTATACTCCTATTCTTTTGTTTATATTGTATTAGATGATACATAGTATAAAACATCACATGTGATATATAACTTTTTATTGACAATTATACTATCTCAAACAACTAGTACTTACTATTAAGCTTTTCCATACTGTTCCTTAAGGGCAGGCTGCCAGTTTTGCAACAACACCCCCCCCCCACAATGCGAAGGGAAATAATAATAAAAAATACAAAACAGAGGAACAAAAAAAAGAAAAAGAAAAGCAGAACCCTTTAAAATGGGAGCTATTATTAATCTTATCTGGAGGGTGCTTGTTTTAATTCCTTTACCTCTGTATTGGATTACTGCATACTGCACTTCAAGTTTGTTTGCTGCAATAGTTTTTTTTTGGGTTGACACACCTGTGTATGACAATATTCTTCATATCTTGTTGCTGATTGTTGTGATGTTGCATGTATCTGAATCCATGTGTTTTATGAAGAGTTACATATTTGTCTCTCTTTCTCAGGAAGTTGAGAAGCATCTTTCAGAGATGGTTGTCTCTAAAGCGCTGGTAGCAAAGATTGATCGGCCAATGGGTATAGTCTGTTTCCAGGCAGCAAAGGACAGCAATGACATTTTGAATTCATGGGCTATGAACTTGGAGAAGTTGCTTGACCTCATGGAGAAGAGTTGCCACCAAATCCACAAGGAAACTATGGTTCACAAAGCTGCCTTGAAAGTTTGAAAATGCTGATGGCACTAATTGCAAGTAGACTTCTCTATTCATTGTGTCTATGCTATTAGCATAAACATATATATATATATATATATATAATATTACATCAAATGAATTAAAATTTGCTACTTTGGTAGTAGTGATATAATTTGTTTTTTGACTTGTCATTTAATTCTTTGCAGGGTGTGCTCTGCTGTGTTTTGAGGACCTATTGACAGAAACCAAAATGGGTTGGTGTTGTTGCAGCGGGAAGAGATTATTATGTGCTTTTATCTGTTTCCTCCATCCTTCGGCTTTATTAAAAGATTGATTAAAGATTCCACATGGTTTCTGCCTTTAAGTCTTTTGTGCTTTTTATTAGTGTTTTTTCTCAGTTGATTTACTCATTGGGATGATAGATTGGTAGTTGTGATATGAAAATTAGCAGGCCTATGGTATTTGTTGTCTACAGTAAAATGATTTGTGAATCAGATGTGGATTATGTTTCACTTCTATAGTTCACAAAGTGGATATTTCTTTTTTGTATACGGAGGACATCATTTTTGTATGATTATCTATTTGTATGGAATTATTATTTTGGGTTGGATTATATTTGGTTTGTATAGAATTTGATGTTACAAGACCAAATTTTTGGATGGTTGAAAGTGAAATAGAAATAGACATATGTATTGTTTTGTTTATATACAGGGTGCAGGTTGCACGAAATAAATACAGATTGTGCAGAAATTAATAATAATAATAAAAAAATAACACTAAATAAAGTTTTTGGTGACTAAATGTTTAGTAGCCAAAAAAACTAAATAAAACTTGTTGGCTACTAAAAATTTAGTAGCCAAAAACAAATTAAAGATTTTTTGGCGACTAAAAATTTAGTAGTAAAAAATATATGAGACTTTAAGCGACTAAATAGTTTAGTAGCTAAAAAAAAAATGAAAATTAATTTTTTTTGGCTACTAAATATTTAGTAGCTAATAATAAATGATACTTTGGGCGACTAAAAATTTTAGTCGCTAAAAATAAAATTAATTTTATTTGGAAACTTTTGGCGACTAAATATTTAGTCGCCAATTTATGATTTTTGGCTACTAAAAAATATTTAGTCGCCAATACCTCGTACTTTTCCCTACTAAAACATTAGTAGCCATTTATAGGACTTTTGGCGACTAAATTTTTTTTAGTCGCCAAAACCTTCCCCGACCGTGTTCCCGCGACAAATCTAGCGACCAAAATATTTAGTCGGGAAAAGGCTTCGGCGACTAAAATCCTTACTTTTGGCGACTAAAACTTTAGTCGCCAAAAATGCATTTTCTTGTAGTGCTAATATTTCCTCCACATGCCAAATCTTGAAGAAACCCCAAAGCTTGGTTAACCTCAGCACCAATTGACTTGGTAATGTTGACAAATAATTCATCAGGTAGAACAAGACGAGGGGGTTTAGATTGAGACCTGTTACCAAACTATACAAAGCATTCAAAGAATTCATAGATTACAAAGTTTTACTTAACCTAGAGTTCAGAACACAAAACAAAATCATCATAATCAATCGAAAGGTTCACGTATAGACATAATGTATGTACACACAGAGAGAAGGTGGATTAAACGTGTCTCACCTGAATGAGTAGTTGGAATTGGGGGAGGATTCAAACTAACACAATTATCCCCAATTCTGGGTTTTTACACATGTTCTACACATCAAATAACTTATTCCAAAGAGCTCCAAATGGAAAAGCCATAACAACTCACAAGGCCTCTCTTCATCAATCCTCCCCATCCTAACACTACAGCTCCTTGGCACCACCCCTGCCGCCGTGGACCGCCACATCTGCTGCCTTTGCATATCCATATCCATATCAACTCCCAATCTCCTCGTTGATGCAACCCTAATCAGCTCTCTCAGATCATAGTTGTCCGCAGACGATGATCTTGACGAAAAGCTCACGTTGTAGCTCTTCGACAACTTATGGATCGGTCCCGATTGAATGTACATCGCGCTGCCATAGGTAACCCTTTGGGCATAGTCCGTAATTATTCGAACGTAGAAGTCTCTGGCTTTGCCCAAAGCCCTAATTGGTATCGTAATGAACTGCATGAACCTGTTTTGGTTGCTTGCTTTGGTTCTCATACTTGAGAATTTTGATGGGAAATTAATTTCTCAATGTGGATGTATGTATGTGTAGATGTGAACACAGAAGATCGTACAAGTAGATAGATTCAAAGATGTGATTTGAAATGAGGCGTCTAACAGAGAAAATTTGGGAGAGAAAATGTGGGTTTGGTTTGGATTGGGCAGAAAAAAAGAGGATGAGAGAGAAGAGTGAGATATTTTATATAGAAGGTTGTTGGCGACTAAAATTGTTTAATCGGTGAGAGTATTTTATAAATTCTTTTAAAATATTTGAAATGTCTCTCTTTAAAAATTTTATTTTTGTGGTGATTAAAATTTTTTTTTGTCGTTGAAAATAAATTTTTGACAACCAAAAGTTTAGTCGTCAAAGGTAAAAAATTATTTTTTATTTTTCATTCGGCGACTAAACGGTTTTAGTAGCCAAAACTTAATATATGACGACTAAATTTCTTTTTTGTCGCTGAAAATAAACTTTTGGCTACCAAAACTTTGGTCACCAAAGGTAAAAAATAATTTTTTATTTTCCATTCAGTGACTAAACGGTTTTAGTAGCCAAAACTCAATATACGGCGACTAAATTTTTTTTTTTGTTGCTGAAAATAAACTTTTGGCTACCAAAATTTTGGTCGCCAAAGGTAAAAAATAATTTTTTATTTTTCATTTGGTGACTAAACGATTTTAGTAGCTAAGACTCAATACACGACGACTAAATTTCTTTCTGTCGCTAATTTTGGCATTTTTAGCGACTAATTTTTTTTTAGTCACCAATAACCAATATACCTCGACTAAAAAAATTAGTTGCTAAATATTTTACTTTTGCCGACTAAAAAAATTTTTGATCGCCAATTCTGGAACTTTTGGTGACTAAATTTTGTTTAGTCACCAATTTTGGTCGCCGAATGTGCATTTTGTTATAGTGATTTTACAAACCCACATCGGGAAAAGAAGAAGAAAGTGAATTGTTTCACTTATGTAAAATGACTTATGCTCTCATTTATATAAGCAAAATGAGATTTTTAGTGAGAAACCCTACAATCAATACCATTTTTTTTTATTTTCTTAATTTTAAACAATTAAGAAAATCTTCATTGGTTAGCTTCCATTTAACTTTTATTTTACAATCTCACACAGAGGTTTTGATTTTAAAAATAATTTTGTACGAGATTTTGAAATTGTCATAATATTTAAATTTAAAATAATTACAATCGTACATCGAGAAAAAAGAAAAAGAAAAAGTGAGTTGTTTTATTTTATATAAAGTGAATCCTATACTCTCATTTAATATTATAGAATTGTGCATGTTTCAATTTAAGTTTAAATTTTAAAATAAAATTTAAAAGTTTAAATTAATTAATTTTATTGTAAATTGGTTAGTATTTTGACTTAGCCGATTAGGCTGAATCGTTTTTGATTTGACTAATTCACTGGTTTAACTGCGGTTTTAGCTGTTTTATCAAAATATATTGTTTAGATTTTTTTTGATTTGAAATAAATTAAGATTGACCTTATTAAAAATTGAACGATTGAATTTGCTTGATTAGAAATGAACTTCTCGTCCAAACAACTATTAACTTTTATTTAGAATCCCACATCAGGAAAATGATGAAAAAATGAGCTGTTTCATTATATAAACCTTATGCTCCCATTTAATATTGTAGTATTGTATATGTTTCAGTTCAAGACAGTTTAAATTTTAAAATTAAAATAAAATTTAAAAGTTTTAATTAATTAATTTTTCTATAAGTTAGTTGGTCCTTTAACCTAGCCGATAGGGTAAATCGTTTTCGGTTTGACTGATTCATTGGTTTAATTGCGATTTTAGCGGTTTCATCAAAATATATTGGTTAAATTTGTTTAATTCAAAATAAATTAAAGATTAACCTAATTAAAGATTAAACGGTTACACTACAAGAAAATCAGGTTTTAGCAGCGTTTTTTATTGCAGTGGCTTGAAAAATACTGCTATAGATGGGCTATCGTAGCAGTTATTGACCACAACTAAAAATTAAATTTTTAGTAGCATTTTTTTCCTAACACGCTGCCATATTTTTGGCCGCTGCTATAAGTGAATTTTTTTGTAGTGTTAAGATTGCTTGATTTGAAATAAATTTCTCGTCCAAATTATTGTTAACTTTTAAACAATTAAGTTATAATCCCACATCGAGAAAAGAATGAAAGAGTGAATTGTTTCACTTACATAAAGTGAATCTTATACTCCCATTTATATAAGTAAAATGAGATTTTTAGTGAGAAGCTTTATGGTCAATATCTCATACTAATTTTTTTGATTTTCATAATTTTAAACAATTAAGAAAATTCCGATTGGCAAACTTCCATTTAACTTTTATTTTATAATCCCACATAGAGGTTTTGATTCTAAAAATAATTTTTTATGGCATTTTGAAACTCTCATAAGATCTCCCCTTAAAAGTATTTTTTTACAAAATATATAGATATATCAATAATCTCAATGTCACTCTTATTGTTCCTTAATACAAAAATTATGAGATATATTATTATAATTTTAAATTTATATTGTGTCAATTTTAAATTTAAATTAATAGATTGTTTTTCATATTTAGTGACAATTTAAATTTTAACAAAATAAAATTTAAAATTTTTAATTAATTAATTTTTGTGTAAGCTGGTTGGTCTTTTGATGTAACTGATTAAGCTAAACGGTTTTTAGTTTGAATGATTTGCTGGTTTAACCGTGATTTTAAGGGTTTTGACATGTTACGATGATTTTCTTTCTTACTCATTAAGTTTTTAAAATTTCTTTAATTATTTTCGTTTCAAAAACTAATATGACAATTTTTTAAAATTTATATATTTATATTCTAAAATAGTGAAGTATTAGAACTATGTCATTTTTTTTATAACAAAGCATAATTTTAATTATTAGTTGTCAAGACAACAATTTTAATCTATCTATACTATATATTATAATAGAGGAAATATTTAAAACAAAACCCTTAAACTTATACCTAAAATTTTATTTACAAGGGACAAAATATAAAAAAATTAAATATAACTATTGTATTTTTAATAAATAATATACTATTTTATATAGTGCATAGCATGGGTGATATGCTAGTTTACTATGTGAAAAAATGGGTTTAACTTCTTTTCCACTGGACTAATGGGAGAGGTCTTATAAGGTAATTATTTAGTAATTTCGGAATATGGATACATGATATTCTATAGTATTATGATTAGTGGAGAAGGTGGATATGTACGGTATTGTGTTGGGTGATTAGGAAACATGAGGGGCATATTGAATGATGATTGATTAGAAAGTACAGACACATTTGTAGATACCCCATTTTTGATCGCCCTTACGACTTGGACGTCACCACTTGCACACCCAATGACAAGTGTATATTCTTGTTAAGTGTTCAGAGTCCTCAACGGAATGCCACAACTTTGAGCCTTCAAATCCTACACACCTGTTGCCTTATTTTTGGACCAAAACCAGAGTTTTTCAAGCTTGTAATCTCTTATAGCCTGCCGGTTCCTTCTATTGGCTGCCAGCCACTGCTTCTGGTTGCTGACCACTGATGTGGCCTGCTAGCCACCAATAGTGGCCTACCAACCATAAGTATGTTTTGTAGATATTTTTCTACCAGTTGTGCCAACTGTTGGCACAGATGCATGTACCTTCTTACACGTGTATGTATTGATATTTCTAAGGGAGTTGCATGGTTTTCTATATATAGGAGGCCTCCCCTTCCATTTTAACGGTTGGAATTTTTAGAGCAAAAATTCTCTCTCTCTCTCTCTCTCTCTCTCTCTCTCGCTTGCAATTTTTTAGGCTTTTGCAAGCTTTTGCCTATACACTCTAAACCAAACCTTACTATCTTTGAGTTGAGGTACCTTTGAGCCTAGTTTGAGCTCTTGAGGGTGTGTTTGCCTTGATTTTTTGCCTAGAATTGGTTCTCTTCTTCAAGAGATATAAAACTTTTCTTCGCGTCTTACTTTATTTACTCTTTTTCCTACTGTTTTTCCTTTGTTTTTGGATTGTATAAAATATGTATTTTTGGGCTGAAACTTGTGGTTTAAGGCCTCAAATGGTGGAGGGGTGGTTCACTGTCGCGACCCAAACCCGCCCCCATGGGTTTAGTGTCGTAACTGGCCAATAATCTACAATTATGAAAGGCCTATTTGACAATAAGAACAATAATACGATATAAAGGGGGCTGGCGGAAGCCAATCAATAAATAGAGAGTGCCCAATGAGCTGTGAAGACTTGAATGAAAATAAACTTTCATATACATAGCCATATACAACCACTTATGAATAAACACACACACACACACACACATATATATAACATTGTACAAGTTAGGGGTTTAATCCCATCCTTAAGGAAAGTATAACAAAAGTCTTAAACATTCTTTACACTAAGCGGTAACGAAAACAAAAGGATGGGTTTGAACCACTCAAAATGCCTTGACACATCGAGGTTCAGAACCTCGCTATGAGGCACAATAGATGGCTTGACAAAAACAAGGGTTCAGGTCAGCGCCACTAACTGTGTCCCGGTGCTCGATCACCTACATATATATAATAAACTGTGAGCTAAGCCCAGTGAATAACAAGCGTGTAAAGGAATTAAGAATGAATGCCCTTTCACTAGTTAAAACAGTCAATTACATCTGTAGATTAGTTATTCAATCAAAGTCTCATATTTCATGTCATATCAATCAATTAGAAATCATAGCAGTCATACGTGGTACATCTAATAGCAGAACACTACAGTAGATCTTACTAGACTAAGCAGTTAGTTGATGGCCATCAATACAGTAACAGTAACAGTAGTTCGAAAGATTGAAACTGATAGAGATCTCTGTAACAGTAACAGTAAACTGTAGCAGTAATAGTAACAATCAGTTACTATGGATGCCACGAGTACAGTTCATAAAATAGGACAAACATTCATTCGATAAACAATATCGTTTCAGAAAATAATTACAGTTGAACATATCTTTACAACA